ATTACAAACAATCTTAAACAATATCTACGTATATCAAAATTGAATAATATGTTCATGAATTATGAGTGTTTCATACAACTTTTGGAAATCGTTTTGGAAACGACAGTGGTTGCACTGCCATTCATAACAATTCGTATCGCATTTATTGAGATCGCCTCAAAAGCTTCATTTTAGTCGATTATCCTGTTCTGACAATATAGTATGTGGAAAATGCACTAAATTTCCCAGAATGCATCAATGTTTTCTAACGCACCTTCTGTTGTGCTAGGATCCATAGTTCTGGCGAGTTCTGGATGGAATACTTCCATATAGTGCACTTTACAGAGCAATTGACCTTCATGAGAATTGTAATTTGTTGGCCTGAAATGCATAAGTCGCTAATATTGATGACATAATTTTAGATATTGAAAGATCAAAATCTTACAATTCACTATACGGGAGATAGAAATAAAACCCTTCCAGAATATTGATAATTGCAAGATACGATAGTTATGAATATTATGGACTGTGCTACACAGCAGCAGCAGTAAAACGATAATGAAATTGTTATGCATTGATCGAATAGAAGCATTTTCTCAAATGATCCAAAACAAACATATCCTCATATTCACGTAACGAGTTCATCAATAAAGTAATTTGCATCAACTCGCAATGTGTCCTCCATGAAAGAGAATGAAATCAATCGCTAAGATATAGAAAGCACAAACGTTAATTTCTTAGCACATTTAGAGCATTTGAAGCAGGTGCTATGATAGATACGTTTGTTTGCAAATATACGCTCGACGGGATAGACGATCTTCGAACAAACCACGCATTCACGTGGTGCTTCTTCAGCGGTCAGCTCTGGCTGCAATTTCCTCTGTTTCGAATCACTTTTTAAAGTTCATGAACCGTCAGACTGTAGCGCCGTCAATAAAATGATTTGCGTTTAAGTTAATAACCGTATGGGAATGATGTAGTTTTCTAGGCGTAAAAGGATTTGCGTTAGGGAGATGGTGAACAACTCAATCCGTCGGCGAACGAAGCCACGAATGATCGAATGAACTTTCATCACCACTGATGAAGGTTTATCACCTTTCAGGATAGAATTTGATTTTCTTTTTAACTGTTAATCAAGGTTACCGGTTTGTCTGTACGATATTTCGGCAAGTATTGCTTCAGCAAACTATCGGAATCTAAATGAGGATTTCACCTTAACAAACGCGCTCATCACACGTTTCTTGTCGGCTTCAGAACGTTCCACTACAATCTGCTCTCGTTCGATTGTCGACTGATCATGTGGATTTTCGAAGGCATCTTTGATATTTGCCAACGCATCCTTACCAAGACCGCTCAGCTCTTTCTCGATCTCCTTCAATCGATCCTCCAAATTCGCTCCCAACGTTTCAGGCATCTTCTCGAACTTATCCTTGAACTTCGAATAGGTCTCCTGAAATTTTTTTCGCTCATCACCTTATCATCAATATTGTCCCAATATCGATAGCACATAAATAATTTTTCGGAAAAGCTACAAATTGAATGACATGCATTGACTGTTAAAATTCCATTTCTTTCATTCTT